TTTTAAATGTTGCATTTCATCAAAAAGCACAGACAACTCAGAAAAAATTAAGACATCAACCCGCAGCCTGGTTAGTCAGCTTATTCATCAGCAGCATATAATATAATATAATATAATATAATATAATATAATATAATATAATATAATATAATATAATATAATATAATATAATATAATATAATATAATATTTACACATGAATCAACAAAACCATTTTATACTTGTATACTAATATATATTTTTTATATACTTATAAACCCAACTGTTTGAAAGCAGTTGCCTATTTTATTACCAGTAACAATACCACCTTGGCCTTATTGTGTGAAATTGTTCTATGAGTTCATATTGACTGCTGTTCCACTTTACAAATATTTTTGTTTCTGACTATTTTATATTTTATAACACACTTTTGACTCCAGTATAAAATTCTGGTTATATTTTTAGGAAAACTATTGATAATGAATTATTATCCATTCATATGCAAAACAACTACTATGTTTGGGAACACTGATTCTTTACTTTCTGATTTTCACTAAAAATTTATGTGCATTAGAACCTGTCCTCATAACATACTGAGACAATTGTTTGTTTCAAGATGTCTATAGTGTTTGCAGTATTTGGCATGCATTACTATAGTTACTTATTTTTAACAGCAAAGACCCATACATGGTGCCTGATCGCATTACAGGAAGACATGGTCTTCAAGAATTACGTACACTGTGTCCTAAAAGACAATGGAACTTTATTGAGGTATGTTGACATGCATCAATTAAATAAGCATTAAAGGAAACATCAACCCAAACAACATAATGACCCCTGAAAAAGAAGCTCTACAAATGTAGGAGAATGCAATTTACAGTTTTTTTATATCACTTTTCATTCTCTAGATATTCAACTTTTCATCAGTATTATTTAGTCAGCCATCTTGATTTTCACGCAAAGGATTATGGGTAAAGTATGACATCATAGACTCTGTTGTCAGAAATTGAGAAAATGATTTCATCAATAACTTCAAAAGTTTAACTCAAAATTGGCTGAAAGTTTAGAGATTGGTAGCATACATGTACTGGTGCCATCCATGTTTATAAAATAGTTGTCATGGAAACAGAACTGAGAATATTGATTTTTATGTTTTTCTACCAAATTCTCAAATTTCCTTATATTGTATACAATTTACCAATGTGAGTTATATAAGTGATATATCACATGTTGACCACAAAAGGGGACACAAAAGTGTCATTTTATATTTCATGACAAAAATATTGATTTTTATTTTTTTAACGTTTTTAGCAATATCTTCACTTCATGTGTATTTGTAATATTCTAATTTCCACTACTATAATTATATACATGAGTAATATGCACAACAAAAATTTGAACTAATTCGCATCAGTATTTCTCATGTTATAGATAAAATAATTTTCTCAATTTTTGACAACAGATTCTATGATGTCATACTTTACCCATAATCCTTTGCTTGAGAATCAAGATGGCTGACTACATAATAATGATATAAATTTTAATATCTAGAGAATGAAATGTGATATAAAAAAATTGTAAATTGCATTCTCCTACATTTGTGGACCTTTTTCTTCAGGGGTCATTATGTTGCTTAGATTGATGTTTCCTTTAAAATATCATTTTGTGATTTCTCAGAGCACCAAAACTACTTTTTTTACATCAATCTCAGCCATTTCATTTTAACTACTGCTTGAATTTTGGAATACAAAATATGAAAATATCATTTTGTGCATGCCAGTCTATAAAACAAAATAAAATATTACTGAGATGTTGTTTAAACTCTGCATTCACATTGAGATCCAACAGCTGCAGTTCACCTGTACAACTTGCTAGGACAAATATGAATTTTCTCCCAGCTTTGCAAGGGCCAATTCACATCAATGGGTGTGGAAGACATCAAATATGGCAATGCATGTATGATTGGAAGTGAGCTCTAAAGTATTTCAGAATTTCGGTGCAAGGATTTGGTCAACATATGGCACATTGTAAATTCATTGCTCCAGTGATTTTCTGAATGCTAAATATCCCTGGGTAGCCTGACCTCTCAACTTACTTGCAGCTCTGTATTTCTAGCGTCCAGTCTGAAGTCTTGAAACCGGTCTGATCGAAATTAATGACCATGTCTTTAAGAATGTTATGTTGATTAACCATGCTGGTAATCCTCTCCAGATACATGTATTGTGACTTTAGCTCAAGAAAGTTCACTGGTATTATCCATGTTGCTTTTGTCTCTTGGTAACTGAGAAATGATTGCATCCAGCCCTGTATCAATGAAACTGATCTATCAAGTTCTTATAACATTGAATGTTTTTTCAGTAGCATACCTTTGGCAATTGCAATTATAATTTTCATATTTATAACTGCATGTTTGTTGCAATCATTGGCCGAGAAGTGGAGCGCGACCTCTCATGGTAACCATTAGGTCTCATACCATTGTTTTACTCTTTTATTTGGAATATAGTAGCACTAGTAATATGGCTGTGAAAATATAGACTGTGCATATAATTAAACAAAGGAAACAAATGTAGATTTGAGTGCCATCAGTGGGGCAATCTATTTTTTTATTCTTGTAAGATAATTTTTAATATGTGTTCTCAGGTAAATGTAACGATGGAGGAGCTGCAAGAAATGAGGTACTTATTTATATTTAACTTTACCTATAGTATTTAGTGAAAGGAAAATTTACATCAGTATCAGTCTTAATTCCTTTGTTACTGAATTCACCTCATTGGTTTGATCACATATCTGACTGCTCACTGATAAAACATGACATGTTATAAAGTTTTGAAGAATAGCATAGTACAGAATAACATCCTACCAAATGGTGACATTACAGACTGGTAACACTGTTTGTTGTATCCCTGAAAGATTTGCAGATATTCTGTGGGAGAGATGTCAGACCTCATGTGGTTTCCAGATCTATAATTGGATTTTGATCTGAGTGATTTATATGGTTAATCTTCATTTCAGACAACTGAGGGTCAGTGACCTTGTCTACCCTCTGCAGACAGTCCTAGATGATAGCATTGGATGTGCAATATGGTTTGCTGCCAGGGGTCATGGAATACTTTATTCAAAGGGTACAACAGAGACTGATGGGATACCATACACAAGCAGGTCTAAGGTAAGTATGTATGCAGAAAACAGAAATCTTGAATATTGACGGCTTTGGTAGCAGACTCAGAAATACTCATATTTTATTTTTGTTTCTAGGTGGTACTGGTCGGCATGGGTGCTGATGAACAGCTTGCTGGATATTCAAGACATAGAGGAAGATACAAGTAAGTCAATATTCACTATTTTTAAGCAAAATTAGTTTCTGTCAAAATGGTTTTAAATTATTCTGGAATTTAGAAAAGATTACTGGAAAAAGTAGATATTTATTAATTTTACTACTTTATGTCAGTTCTGAAGGTTTGCCTGGCTTAGTGGAGGAAATAGAGATGGAAATACAGAGAATATCAGCAAGGAATCTTGGTAGAGATGACAGGTTTGTCTCGCTTCTGACTGTACATTGATTGTAAAGACTATATATATCAATACTTACAATTAAATAATTAAAAACTTCCATTTAAAATTGCTCTTTGGGATCATTTTTCAAACTGTGATATCTGTATACACACAAATTCAGACCATCAAATATTTCACATATTAGTTGCAATACCTCAACAAAGCTATAGGAATGATCTCAGAGAGTAACAGTTATTTTAATAATCATGTATTTATACATGCATGTATTTACATATTTATTCTCATGCTTCAGTTTTATTTCTTACATCTCACCTAAGTAGACTGACCTCATTATTTACTATAAAACACTACATGTCATTTTGTGACTGAATACCTCCACATTAATTAAAGTACAACAAAGACAACCAAATGATACATCATAGTATAAACTGTCTAGAACTGCCTCTTCCACTCTCGGAATGGGGAACGTGGAGTCACATGACAAATAAGTGCATGACGTAACTTATTCCTCATAGCAGTCAGTGACAATGGTGTTATCTATGGCAGATACAAGTGATAGCTCGAGAGTGGAAAGCATTGAGCTCTCCTGCTCTTTTTTCCTCGTTCAAAAGTAGTGAAGAATATATGAATTTGAGTTCAACTATTCTGAGAAATGAAATAGAACCATAGATATTTGAGCTGTTTTGTGACGACAGTTCTGAGGGCGACAACTCGGAATGTTCTGATGAAGATCATGCAACAGGCAGACTCAAACACAGACTGGTATGTATTTAACTTTGAATATAAATTAATTAGAATAGGACAAATGACCTATTACTGTATTCTACTTATTTAACTGTCATAAATTTGATCGTCATGATCAAGTACGATGATTTTCACATGAATGCAAATGCTAATAAATGTTTGTCCACATGGTCAGGTAGACAGTAAGTTTTCACAAGTCATCTTTTTTAGCTCTGTTGTCGACTTTGTCAAGCGAAGCCTATCATAATAATAATAAAAATGAATTTATTGCATCCTTAGAAATAATTTCCATTGGTTGACAGCAATAAAATGTTAGTAATAAAGTACAATACATATAAACTAAAGTACTTTGTTACATGTATTTCTGATTTCAAATATTTTGTATAAGTATTTATTATTATGTCTTGTCTTGAACTCTTCTCTTAAATATATTTAAATATCTTGTCATCGCTTTTCAATTCTTCTGGAATATTGATATTATTAAATAACTTTTGTTTTTCTGTTTGGTACCTAAGACCTTCCATGAAGAAATGTTCTTCATTTTCAATTTTGATCTGGGAAAATTGCTTAACGATCCTGTCTTCTAAAGGTATTTTGGGTTGGGTATGTCTACCCTTCTCAATTTCTAATACATGACAGCTTATTCTGAAATGAGTCATTATGATTTTATGTTTCAGATTACATACGAGCAAAGAGTATACGAGTCTTTGAACTTTATATACGTTCTCAGTTTTCTATTATCATTTGTTACACTCAACTTCCAGAACTCTACATACCTTTGTCGAATGTTTTTTTGTATGTTTTTCATTTGGTAATTTTTGAGGTATGACAGACGAGGACAAGTTTGCAGCATTTTCGGAGACCATGTTTTTTTACTGATGTAAATTTTGTTTTTGTTCTTCAGTGGCTTGTTTTGTAATATTACTGTCTGGTAAGACACTAATACAATACCAGTATTTAATAAGATTTTCCTCAATATCTATGAGTAATGGAAATTCACCAAGTTCAGTTCTACATGCTGCATTTGAGGTGAATTTATTCACACCTAGTATTTTTGTGCAGAATTTCAAATGTTCAATCGGTGTTTTGTCCCATCTATTATTGTCTAGTATGTCATGTCCCCAGGTTGTTGATCCATATAACAAAATTGGTGTAATACATATCTGAAAAAGGTGCCTAAATGTTCTACAGTTAGTCTCTCTTGGCATTGCTTTCAACAGTGCATACATTGCTCTAGTAGCTTTGTCTGTTAAATGTTATCTTGTTTCTTGGAACTTTCCGTTTGATTGTAAAGTTATACCTAAATAAATATAAGAATTGACACAACTTATATTTTGTTCTTGGAATTGAAATAACTCTCTCTTTCTCATTGTTCCCTTTTTGAAAATCATAACTTTGGTTTTATTAAGATTTACCTGGAGTTTCCATTTGTGGCAGTATTCAGATAATTTATTTAATGCATTTTGCAAACCTAAGTGTCTTGTTGAAATCAATACTAGGTCATCTGCATAAAATAGAGAGTTAATTTTATAATTATTTAATGTTACCTGGTTTACTGAATCTTTTAATGTGTCATTCAAGTCATTAACATAAAGATTAAAAAGCATTGGACTTGTAGTACATCCCTGTCTCACACCCTTATTTGTATTAAATATTGGAGATATTTTGTTGCCAAAGCGAATACATGTTTTAGTATTGTTATACATGTTTTTAATTAAATGATAAAGTTTCCCATCAATCCTGTTCTAAATAAATAAACCATCCCTCCAAACAGTATCGAAAGCCTTGCGAAAATCTACAAAGCATGTATATGGTTTACCATTTTGTTTTAGGTATTTATTAACTATTGTTTTTAGATAAAAATGTGATCAGTGGTCTGATAACCTTTTCTAAACCCAGCCTGATTGTTATTATGCTTCTCTGAAAAATAACATAACCTATTATTGACTAAATCACAGAACACTTTGCCTATACAACTGGAAATTGCTACCCCCTATGATTTCCTGATTCCTCCTTATCCTTTTTTTTAAATATGAGTAATTATACTGTATTGAATATTAAATTATACAATTTATGGAGTGGTTTAATTAGATGGTTTTCACTGTTTTTATAAGTTCTTTTCCGACTTCTTCTTGAAAACTACAAGCCTGAATGCTTTGATACTTGGTGTATATGTACCTTGGGTAGACCTCTCTTAGATTTGTTCATTTCATGATGATATCTTCAATTCTCTAATTTTAATAAATATTTTTGTCATTTTTGGTAAAAAGTGATATTTTCGAATTCTTGTTGAAAACAGCAAGTCTGGTTGCTCTGATACTATACATATTGTTCATTTTTGAATGATATCTTCAGTTCTTAATTGAAATGTACATTGCTAACAGCTTGTTATTGTTTCTTGCAGGTGTAAATGTGGTAATTGTTGGGTACTGGAAATGCACAAAGAATATGTTTGTTGTTGTGATGTTGTAGAGGTGACTAATAAAATTGAAGGGATGGTATGCATATGTGTAACTGAACACCCAGAAATTAACAGTTTGTGCCTGGATGTGTGGGTTTTACAGACAGCGTATTTCTATCTCCGACAGCATCACGGCGATAGAACTGGGCATGAACCAAACTGCAATTCAATGATCATGACTAATACATGTGATCAATGTAAATAGCTAATTAGCATACAGTACAGATACAGGCAGTTTGTGAGATGGTGTTGGGGATTTCCGGGCAAAGACATAAGAGTTGTGATTCCGTCATGTGTAGTCACAAAAATATTTGTGGCTTCAAACTTACAACTATTAGACTAATTTTCCTATTTGATCTATTTTTTGACAATATACAATATATACCTAATTTCATGATTGTATTTGTTGTTCATACCTGATTAATGTGTACATTATATATTGTTTTTCACATATAAATGATTTCAAAATTCAAACGTTTGATTGTTCTACGATACTATTAAAAAACAAATTGTTGGATTTTATTGGTGTTACACTGCAGTAATTTATTATGCTGAAAATCTGGTCATATGTTTTTCAATGCAGTAGTGTTGGCTACACAATGGCGGCAGTTGTAATGAATTGAACTTGGTGTTACCCTGAACAACGTGAGATTACTTTATCAAAAAGTTCTTCCACATAACCTGGAGAAGAAGCAGAATAAGATGCAATAAATATACTTATGTGAAATTAAATATATTATGGTGCATGTATTTATGATTTCTGTGACTTCCTTCAAATTAACGTAACATGGATCTGGTCACTTTATAACTTACATGTACTATATGTGCTGCGAACGTGTATCTTGTTCACTACATATCCCCCTTTCTTATATTTTGGATACTTCACTTTATATCATTCCTGGCCTGTTCGGGTTGTAGCATGGTTCCTGTCGCTGTTATCATTGTAGTAAAGGGCAGCGAGAAGAAATCTACTAATAACATAAATAAACCCATGATCAGAGTACAATTATATATCATGTATTATGATTTACATTTACCTGGTGTGCATACAGTGATATGAAAACCCTATCATCTTGGGTGCAAATTGATTTATTAGACTATGGAATGCCTCTAGATGGAATGTTTTATGGGACGTAGACAGTCCTTTCATATCACTGCATGTTTACAATTGAGTTTTTGTCAAAATTTTAAACCTATCGGTAATAATGAAAATATAATGTCATGGTTTGGATAGTTTTGAGAGGCAAAGTCCAGGTATGAATACACAACCACATCGATAATTCCTATTATATATCTCTATCACAGTTGAAACCCAGACTATTCTCAAAATTAAGCCTCTCCAACAAAATGTACAAGTGGTCTGGGAAACAGTATTTTGGTGTAATGACATCCATGGTGAAAATATATCAATATGATTCCGAAATATAATAGTATTCACAATTTATTTAGCCACTTATTGTCCCTAACGCCTCACAGTCGTAGTCTTTGGGCACAGGAAGGAATCGTGTCCATTGTGAATATTCTGCATATGGTTCAATAACTATTTCCATTTGACCATTGCCATCAGGCATGGAGACGGCACACTAGTGTCCATGATGATTATACTGCGGCTTCATAGTGCAACCTCTAAAGTTTTTTTCGTTGCTAATGCAAACAGCTTCTTTTTGACTCCCGTGTGCGAAGCACAAAAGGGAGTCTTTGCAGTTACCCTGTCTGTATGTCTGTATGTATGTATGTATGTACATGTATGTCACTTTTTTTGTTCCACCGTTATCTCAAGAACCACTAATCAAATTTTGGTGAAACTTGGTACATAGATGTTCTGGGATAATTCGCAGAGTTGATTAGGTTTGGGTAAAAATCTATGAATATTAATTACCTAATTTGCATGATAATTAGCTTATTTTTAGCTGTTCCAAGACTGTTCCACTAATATCTGAAGAACCACTGATTGGATTTTGATGAAACTTGACACATGGATGCTCTGAACTAGTGCGCAGATTTGATTAGTTTTGGGTAAAAATCTATGAATATTAATTACCTAATTTGAATGGTAATTAACTGATTTAAAGCTGTTTCATGACTGTTCCACTGATATTTGAAGAACCACTGATTGGATTTTGATGAAACTTGGCACATGGATGCTCTGAACCAATACGCAGATTTGATTAGTTTTGGGTAAAAATCTATGAATATTAATTACCTAATTTGAATGATAATTAACTGATTTAAAGCTGTTCCATGACTGTTCCACTGATATTTGAAGAACCACTAATTGGATTTTGATGAAACTTGGCACATGGATGCTCTGAACCAATACGGAGATTTGATTAGATTTGGGTAAAAATCTATGAATATTAATTACCTAAGTTGCATGATAATTAACTGATTTTAAGCTGTTCTATGACTGTTCCACTGATTTTTGAAGAACCACTCATTGGATTTCAATGAAACTTGGCACATGGATGCTCTGAACTAATGCGCAGATTTGATTAGTTTGGGTAAAAATCTGTTAATATTATTAATTACCTAATTTACATAATGATTAATCAATTTTCGGCTTTTCCACTGATATCTCAAGTACTAATCATATCATTTCAATAAAACTTGGTACATAGATGTCATATGACACTGCACAGACCTGATAGTTTTTAGGGTAATATCAATACATATTAATTACCTAATTTGCATAATTAATTAATTTTCAGCTTTTGATATTTCGAGTACCAGTAGTAATGATCACATTTCAATGAAACTTGGTACATAGTTACTTGAGGACTGTGCAGAGACCTAATTAGTTTTGGGGTAAATATTTGTGCATATTAATCACCTAATTTGCATTATTAGTTAATTTTTTGCTGTTCTATG